CTATTCATTCCAACAGTTCAAGTGCAAGATGATGAAAACTAACCAGAATGGGCAGCAAGAATGGTAAGAGCTACATAAAAATGAAAAGTTTTCAAAGAAAGCAATGGGGTTTTCAAAGAAAGCAATGGGATTTTCAGGCTTGGTGTGGGATGAATGTACTTGTAATACAGCTTCAGAGCGGCTAACTTCAGATACAAACAGATGTCCTGCCAGAAGCAAATGAGGCCAAAGAAACTGTTCTTCAGATGGAACCACAAGAGAGTTTCAGTAAACAAAACAGTTGTTCTTCTAAACCTTTTGTAATTGAAACTGTTCTTTGTTTGAAATAGAAGTGAAACAATCTTTATTTTTAATAATTAAAGGACCCAAAATGATTTTCCCCTTCCTGAGAAGTAAACCAAATGGATCCTATTTAGCACCTGAAAATGCAACAGTCATGAGCAGGCAGGCAAAGGAGCTCATGTGAGCCTAAGTCCATTTCTGCATATCAGCAAATTTTATTAGAATTGCTTGTCTCCTAGTTTTGAGTCTAAATAATCAAATATAATGGAATATTCTTAGTATAGTGCTTATATCCTTACTGAAACAGTTTCTTGTCACTAATTTTTTGGTTTACAATTTTTTTTTTTTTTTTTTTTGAGACGGAGTCTTGCTCTGTTGCCCAGGCCGGAGTGTAGTGGCATGCTCTCAGCTCACTGGAACCACCACCTGGGTTCAAGTGATTCTCCTGCCTCAGCCACCTGAGTAGCTGGGATTACAGGGGCCTGCCACCATGCCCGGCTAATTTTTTGTATTTTTTGTAGAGATGGGATTTCACCATGTTGGCCAGGCTGGTCTTGAACTGACCTAGTGATCTGCCTGCCTAGGCCTCCCAAAGCGCTGGGATTACAGGCCTGAGCCACTGCGGCCGGGCTACAGATAAAAAAGTAGAATATATTACTGACATCAGTTTAGAAAAGTGTATGGCAGTGTAGAGTAAATACAGGTAACTGAACAAAGAAATATCAATAACAATTGGTAAGAGCAATTTTTTTTTGAGACAGGGTCTGGCTTTGTGCCCCAGGCTGGATTGCAGTGGCAAGATCTCAGCTCACTGTGACCTCTGCCTCCCAGGTTCAAGTGATTCTCCTGCCTCACCCTCCGGAGTAGCTGGGATTGCAGGCACCCACCACCACACCTGGCTAATTTTTGTATTTTTAGTCGAGACAGAGTTTCATCATGTTGGCCAGCCTGCTCTCCAATGTCTGACCTCAAGTGATTCGCCCACCTTGGTCTCCCAAGGTGCTGGGAATATAGGTGTGAGCCACTGCACCTGCCCAAGAGCAATTGTTATAATTGCTATTGCCAATAATTTTTTCAGGCTGGGCGTGGTGGCTCACGCCTGTAATCCAAGCACTTTGGAGGCCAAGGCGGGCGGATCACCTGAGGTCGGGGATTCAAGACCAGTCTGACCAACATGGGGAAACCCCGTCTTAAAAAAAAAAAAGATAAAAAAAAAGAAAAAATAATAATAATTTTTTCATATTTCTGTGACCACACTTTAAGATGTCATCAAAGGATTTGATATTGTGTGGAAAATACTTAATAGGAAAACTACTTAACTTTTAAAATATGTTGTCCCATCTCAATCACATAAACTTATCTTCCTACTATCCCAAAGGTTAGGCAGATGACAAATGCTGTTTTTCTCTTCTCTCTCTCTGTCTGACTCAGAATATATATATACACACACATATATATATGTATATATATATACAGGGTCTTGCCTAGGCTGGAGTGCAGTGGCACAATCACAGCTTACTGCAGCCTCGACCTCCCAGGTGCAAGCAATCCTCCCACCTGTCTCCTGAGTAGCTGGGACTACAGGTGTGCATCACCATGCCCAGCTAATTTTTTACATGTTTTGTAGAGATGGGGTTTTGCCATATTGCTCAGACTGTTCTCCAACTCCTGGGCTTAGGGGATCCACTTCCCTCAGCCTCCCAAAGTCCTGGGATTATAGGCATGAGTTACCATACCTAGCTTTCAATACTGTAGTGCTGATTACACTGAAAGTGTAAAAAACATTTGAAATAATCATTGTTGGAGGGGGTGGGGCTGAAAAGATTTTTATTTATTTATTTATTATTATTATTTTTTAACTTTTTTTTTTTTTTGAGACAGAGTTTCGCTCTTGTTACCCAGGCTGGAGTGCAATGGCACGATCTCGGCTCACTGCAACCTCCGCCTCCTGGGTTCAGGCAATTCTCCTGCCTCAGCTTCCTGAGTAGCTGGGATTACAAGCACGCGCCACCATGCCCAGCTAATTTTTTTGTATTTTTAGTAGAGACGGGGCTTCACCATGTTGACCAGGATGGTCTTGATCTCTTGACCTCGTGATCCACCCGCCTCGGCCTCCCAAAGTGCTGGGATTACAGGCGTGAGCCACCGCGCCCGGACTAAGATTTTTAAAAAAGAAAGAAATAATCATTGTTTTGAGGACACAAATAGTAACACAGCAACTTAGAGGTGGAACAAATTTTAGAAAAAACATTGTTTACTTTTACTAAATTATTTATGTTGATTTAACCTGATTTAACCAACTAGACTACATTTAAAATCTCTGGGGTCGGGCGCAGTGGCTCATGCCTGTAATCCCAGCACTTTGGGAGGCCGAGGTAGGCAGATCACCTGAAGTCAGGAGTTTAAGACCAGCCTGGTTAACATGGTAAAACTCCGTCTCTATTAAAAATACAAAAATTAGCTGGGCATGGTGGCGGGTGCCAGTAGTCCTAGCTACTTGGGAGGCTAAGACAGGAGAATTGCTTGAACCTGGGAGGTGAAGGTTGTAGTAAGCCAAGATTGGGCCACTGCACTCCAGCCTGGCGACAGAGCAAGACTCTGTTGCAAAAAGAAAAAAAATCTGAACACACAGATATTGCTTAAATAGCACAAAGTTCAAAGAAAGCTCAATTTAACCAAATCAAACCACTGTGCCAAGGTAAAAACAAATCGAGATCATTCCAAAGGAGTTGCATAAAAAGAGAGCTAATGCAGGTTTGAGATCAGGTATTTGCCTTTTTGAAGAGTGACCCTGATTTTATCTGACCTCAGAAAGGCTGTTTCTCTCTGAGCTCCAATTTCTCTTCAAAACATTGAGAGGCTTGTGTCTGCGCAATTTTAAAGTGTTCTTGGATCTATAATTTGGGATTTTGTTATAGTGGCCCTAAACTAAAAACAATTTAACCAAAAGCATCATCTTCTTCTTAAAGATTTTAACTGGGCATGGTAGCTCAAACCTGTATTCTCATTTTGGAAGAATGAGGCAGGAGGATCTCTTGTGAGACCTTCTCTTTACCACCCTCCCCCCCAAAAAAAAAAACCTAACCAGGCATAATGGCACATATCCGTAGTCACAACTACTCAGGAGGCTGAGGCTGGAGGATTGGTTGAGCAAAGGAGGTTGAGGCAGCAGTGAGCTGCATGAGTGCACCACTGCTCACCAGCCTGGGCAACAGAATAAGACTCTGCCTCAAAAAAAAAAAAAAAAGATATTGTACTTGGATCTTGTATAAAGGAATTGAATTGTTGAATGCTACTTAGAGCAAATACATTTTTAGTCAAGTTCTGAGGGAACTAACATGGCTACCATGGTGAAACCCCATCTCTACTAAAAATACAAAATTTAGCCAGGCATGGTGGCAGGCACCTATAAGCCCATTGGGAGGCTGAAGCAGAATTGCTTGAACCTGAGAGGCAGAGGTTGCAGTGAACTGAGATCGTACCACTGCACTCCAGCCTGGGCGACACAGCAAGACTCTATTTCAAAAAAAAAAATTTTTTTTTAAATAGAGATAAGAGGACTCTCGTTGTTGTCCAGGCTGGTCTCAAACTCCTGGCCTCAAGTAATTCTTCTGTCTCAGCCTCCCAAAGTGAATGAATAACAAGAAGTGAGACACCTTGCCCAGCCTGACACAGTGATTTGGAATTAGGTAAGATGTACTTCACATTGAGGTTTCAGAACCACGTGGCATGACATTTTAATCAACAGTGCAAATCTATAAAGAAGGGCTTTATCATCAGCACAGAGCAGGAAAAACCCTAAACCGAACGAAGGTAGCTAAGATGATTACTGAGTCATTAATTAACTATGTTGTCTAATCACCCCAGTTTCTACCTCTGTTTGGCTTCAAAAGTCAAAAAAGTCAACTTGCAAAAAAAAAAAAAAAGCCTACTTGCCCGGAAAGGAAGTTTGAATTCTTTACCTTACTGTAAACTCTTAGAAGTGGAAACAAAACTGCCATTTAAATGTGTTTGCTGTTAATGAACTTGAGCGTGACTATGCTATGAATCAGCAGTTTCAAAATGAATATTCCTGAGTCCTCTAGTCAAAAGGCAAAGCCTTCCTCTTTGGCTTGATCACACTATTAATATGTACACATATTTAACCACCGCTTTTTAAAACCCCTTACAATTTACACCTGTTTGGGTGAACGACTGAATAACTAAATGTGAAAGCCTATGAAGAGCTTTCTTAATAAAATAAATAAAGCTGCATTTTATTCTAGGATATTTAGTAACATTTACACTGAAGATGACGACGAAATGTGAATGAAATACTGCGATGAACAATAACCGTCCCAGCTACTAGTGGTGGTACGGTCTCAACGGAGGACGATGACTTCTGAGGTCTCAAGTAATCATCACAGGACCCGGGGAGCGGAACTGTCAGTCCCACCCCACGAAAGCGGCTACAGAATCCCAGATTGCCCCACGATCCCAGTTCTGCGAGTGAGGTCACGTTCACAAAGCCGGGAATTTCCACAGCGGTGACACACGGCACTTCCGGCCGGCCGTGAGAGTCAGTGACGTGGCAGCAAGGCTAGGCACGGTCGTCGGGGTCGGGACACCAGGAGCTGTCAGGTGCCCTCGGGGCAACCCCGCTGGAAGAAAAGAGCTCGCCGGCAGCCACTGCGGCAGCGAGGCCGGAGCCGGAAGTGCCACGTGTCCTGATTGCGGCTGCGCGGCCGGGGGCTGACAGACACTTCCGGCCGAGGCCTCCTTCCTTCTAGGTTTGGCTGCCTCCCTGTAGCCCTGCATTCGCGGCCCCGCCGGCCCGACTTTCTAGCCTCAGTTCCCAGGCTAGGCCGTGGCCGCCGGTGGCCTGGGGAGAGTGCGGCGCCATGCCTCGGGCTTGATGCGCCGCCCTCTCTTTTCCCAGTCTTCAGTCTTAAGTTGTTAGCCTCCTCCCTCCGCTTTCAGCAGTTGTCTTTCAGCTCTGTTCTTGGCCCTGTTGTCGACCCGGACCAGCCCCTTCCAACCCAGATAACCGCCGTCGTCATGTCCCAGCCGGGAATACCGGCCTCCGGCAGCGCCCCAGCCAGCCTCCAGGCCCAGAACGGAGCCGCCTCGGCCTCGGGGTCTCCCTACGCTAACGGTAAGTGCTGTCCGAGGGGAGGGCTCAGCCTGGCCGGGGCTGAAACTGACCTTTGCGTGCCGCTGCTGCTTGAGGCGACATGGAGAGGGTGACCTCCCTACTGGGTTCTGGCCCGGATGGTGGTGGACGGCTGGGCCAGGGGACCACGGCGATTGTGCACCTGTAGCCCCAGGATTGTCTTAGGCTTTCACATTTATTTATTCAGTCGGTCACCAAAACAGTAATTAAGTACCTGCTGTATGCAGCGTCCTGGGTGAAACATGGGTGAGAAACTGCCTTAAAACTCGAATGTAAGGATCATAGTGTTTGTGTGCCTTCGCCTTCCGTGCCACCTCACCCCAGTCTCCTAGAAAGCAGGATTTATGGTCTGATTCATCTGGGCTCTGCAGGCCCTGAAGTGGGTTGGCAGTCGTACCCAGTCTGATTTTCTGATGATGAATGCATGCTTTTGGGACACCCCCTTTAGGGCCTGCCCATCCCTCCCAGAATTGTACCTACAACACCTGTTGAGTGTTTCAGCTGTTGAAAAACCAAATAGAAGGGACGATCTCCTGTTTGATTTCTAGATCTCTGTACAGCACTTGGAAAGTTGTTGGACACAGCTCTTTCAATCCCTGACAGGAGTCTACATGTACATTATAGTTTGTCATTTGGCGTGAGAATGTCTTATAATTTTATACCTCTTCTAGGATTCCTTAAATCGTCCTACTTTATGATTTGCTAAGATTATATCAATTTATAATAGACAAAGTCTTTCTGCCAACAGATTGCCTACTTACAAATTTACCTACAAATCTCTGGTTTACAGAAATAAAACTAGTAGAATGATGCTAAAGAGCTTAGTTGCCCATTGGAGTCTAAGATTTCTGCTAAGTTGGAGAAAACAGATAGTGACTAAAATTGCTAATTTACATTGTTTTTAGAGAAGACTGCTGTTTTCTTTACAGAGATGGCTCTAAAAGACTTTTAAAAATGTCTGAGTAGGCAACTATGTGGGCAGAAGAAAGAATAAATGGAGGAAAGCAACTGAAAGGGTGTTAAGTTGAATTAATCATTCTTTCTCAAAATTATGGTAACAGATTGTGTAATACATTTTATTCTAGGATATTTAGTAACATTTACACTGAGGATGAGAACAACTTAAAATGTTATATGGCTATGGATTTTTCTTATAATCTATAAATTGCGGTTTTACATCAACTTTAAATGACAAATCCTTAAATGTGCTTCTACGTTTATAGATGGGTGTGTCATAATATTGAAATGTTTGACATAATGTCATAATATTGAAATGAAGAGGTTTGACCACTGTGGTATGCTGTATTAGAAATATTATCACTATGTTGGTTTGATACAGTCCAACAGACATTTGATGCACATATTCTAAGTTCTGTCTTGAGGATATAAAAGAGAATAAGAAAGCATTACCTGTACATAGGTTGTCCATAGCCAGTTGGGGAATTCGCATATTTAACTGGTGACTGCAATTCAGGGTGATGGCAGCTGGAAGAATGTGACCAACTGAGAGGTGGGGAATGAAACCATAGGACTGCAGTTAAAGCCTCTTTGTTTGTCATTTATCTTAGGAGACAAGGTCTCATTCTGTCACCCAGGCTGGAGTGCAGTGGCGTGATCACAGCTTACTGCATTCCCAGCCTTCCAATACCTGGCTAATTTTTTTTTTTTTTGAGACAGGGTCTCACTCTGTTGCCAGGTGCCAGGCTGGAGTTCAGTGGCACAATCTCGGCTCACTGCAGTTATGCCTCAGCCTCCCGAGTAGCTGGGACTACAGGCGCAGGCCACCACCCCCAGCTAATTTTTGTATTTTTAGTAGAGACGGGGTTTCACCATGTTGGCCAGGATGGTCTCAATCTCTTGACCTCGTGATCTGCCTGCGCTGGCCTCCCAAAGTGCTGGGATTACAGGTGTGAGCCACCATGGCGGGCATTTTTTTTTTTAATAAATGTGTTTTTTTTTTTTTTTTTTTTTTTTTTTTTTTTTTTGAGACGGAGTTTCGCTCTTGTTACCCAGGCTGGAGTGCAATGGCGCGATCTCGGCTCACCGCAACCTCCGCCTCCTGGGTTCAGGCAATTCTCCTGCCTCAGCCTCCTGAGTAGCTGGGATTACAGGCACGCACCACCATGCCCAGCTAATTTTTTGTATTTTTAGTAGAGACGGGGTTTCACCTTGTTGACCAGGATGGTCTCGATCTCTTGACCTTGTGATCCACCCGCCTCGGCCTCCCAAAGTGCTGGGATTACAGGCTTGAGCCACCGCGCCCGGCCTAAATAATGTTTTTCTAGCGATAAGGTCTCCCTGTGTTGCCCAGGATGGTCTTTAACTTCCCGCCTAAAGCACTCTTCCCTCCTTAGCCTTCCAAAGTGCTGGAATTACAGGCCTGAGATTATAGGCATGAGCAACCACACCTTTTTGTTGTTGTTGTTGTTGAGACAGGTCTCTCTATGTTGCCTAGGCTGGTCTGAAACTCCTGGCCTCAAGTGATCCTCCTGACTCAGCCTTCCAAAATGCCGGGATTAGAGGCATGAGCTACTGAGCCTGATCTGGGTTGTTTTATTGTTCATCCCACTAATACAAAGAGTAGGGATGTGGTATCAAGTTGAAGGAGAGGATATTTTTCAAGAGGTGAGAAAATGTTTCAATGCTGGGGTCTAGTTTTGGTTAACTATTCCAAAGCAGTAGTTGATGCTTACATATTCTGTTGAAAACTTTTTTTTTTTTCTTGAGATGGAGTTTCGCTCTTGTTGCCTAGGCTTGGAGTGTAATGGCACGATCTCAGCTCACTGCAACCTCTGCCTCCCTGATTCTAGCAATTCTCCTGTCTCGGCCTCCTGAGTAGCTGGGATTATAGGCGCATGCCACCAGGCCTGGCTAATTTTTTTTTTGAGGCAAGAGTCTTGCTGCATCACCAGAAGCCAGGATGGAATGCAGTGGCAGGCCTCGGCTCACTGCAACCTCTACCTCCCAGGTTCAAGCAATTCTCCTGCCTCAGCCTCCCGAGTAGCTGGGACTACAGGTGTGTACCACCACGCCCAGCTAATTTTTGTATTTTTAGTAGAGACGGGGTTTCTTTTTTTTTTTTTTTATAAAGACGGGGTTTCACCATGTTGGTCAGGCTGGTCTTGAACTCCTGACCTCAGGTGATCCGCCTGCCTTGGTCTCCAAAGTGCTTGGATTACAGGTGTGAGCCACCATGCCTGGGCTTGAGACGGGGATTCACCATGTTGGTCAGGATGGTCTCAGTCTCTTGACCTCGTGATCCGCCCGCCTCGGCCTTCCAAAATGTTGGGATTACAGGCGTGAGCCACTGTGCCTGGCCTAATTTTTGTATTTTTAGTAGAGACAGCGTTTCCTCATATTGGTCAGGCTGGTCAGGCTGGTCTCGAACTCCTGACCTCAGGTGATCCACTTGCCTCGGCCTCCCAAAGTTCTAGGATTACAGGCATGAGCTACCACGCCTGGCCAAAAACTCTCAAGTATTTAATGAAGTTTGCTTAAATTACATGTTACAGTATAATTAGATCTTCAGTTTGCTTTTGTTTTTTTGTTTTTGAAATGGAGTCTTGCCCTGTCGCCCAGGCTGGAGTACAGTGGTGTGATCTTGGCTCACTGCAACCTTTGCCTCCTGGGTTCAAGTGATTCTCTGGCCTCAGCCTCCTGAGTAGCTGGGACTACAGGCGGGCGCTACCACGCTCAGCTAATTTTTGTATTTTTAGTAGAGATGGGGTTTCACCATGTTGGTCAGGATGGTCTTGATCTCTTGACCTCATGATGCACCTGCTTCAGCTGCCTGAAGTGATGGGATTACAGGTGTGAGTGACCGCACCCAGCGGACACGTTTTTTCTAAGTCTTTGTGTATACACATTTCCTTTCCAAAAATTGATAGCAAGTTGGACTGCAAGACCATTTAAAGTAATGGATGTTAATCTGATTATCATGTAATAAGGCCAGAGGCAAATAATGACTGCCACCGTTAATTAGTGCCTTTATTGACCGAATCAACTTGCAAAGGCAGTTAGAAACTGCAGTTTTGTTTTGTTTTGCCTTTTCAGGCAGGGTCTCACTTTGTCCCCCGGACTAGAGTGCAGTGGTGCAGTCTTGGCTCACTGCAGCCATAACCACAAAGGTTCAACCGATCCTCCTGACTCAGCTCCCAATGTAGCTGGGATTACAGGCATTTGCCACCATGCCCAGCTAATTTTTGTATTTTTTGTAGAGACAGGGTTTTACCATGTTGGTCAGGCTGGTCTCGAATTCCTGAGCTCAAGAGATCTACCTGCCTTGGCCTCCCAAAATTCTGGGGTTGCAGCCACTGCACCTGACCAGAAACTGCAGTTTTATTAATTTAATTAATTAATTTATTTATTTATTTGTGATGGAGTCTTGCTCCGTCACCTAGGCTGGAGTGTAGCGGTGCGATCTTGGCTCACTACAGCATCTGTCTCCTGGGCCACAGAGTGAGATACCTTCAAGCTATTCTCCTGACTCAGCCTCCTGAGTAGCTGGGATTATAGGCACCCACCACCATGTCTGGCTAATTTTTGTATTTTTTTTTCTTTTTTTTAAGACAGGGTTTCACCATGTTGATCAGGCTGGTCTTGAACTCCCGACCTCAGGTGATCTGCCCGCCATGGCCTCCAAAGTGCTTGGATTACAGGCGTGAGCCACTACGCCCGACCTAATTTTTGTATTTTTAATAGAGGTGGAATTTCACCATGTTGGCCAGGCTGGTCTCAAATTACTGACCTAAGGCAATCTGTCCACCTTGGCCTCCCAAAGTGCTGGGATTACAGATGTGAGACACTGCATTTGGCCAATAGTTAGCTATTTTTCTGTGACTTTTATTTATACTGTCTTGTAGGACACCATAATTAGTGGAACCATATTATGGAGAGCCTTGAATTAACTTAAAATTGATCATTCAATTGTATTCATGTATGATAGGCGGAAAGTATGAACTGTGTCTGGCGGATAGTAGCTC